TTGGCAGGAATTTGTTTGGAGCAGGCAGTATGTGAATAAGACAACCTCTGACTTTTCTGTTCCCCATCAGAGCTGACAATATGAGCATCTCAAAGTTACTTTTGTTCACTTTTTAAATCCTTTCCAAATTAAAAAAAAAAATTCAAATGCAGCCAACTCACAATTACTACAGTTCTGATGTATTTCGGATGTATTTCTGGTGCAATACAGCAGACTTTATTCTTCTGCTCAACCCAAGCTCTAGTTACAAATGTGTTAAGGATACTGTTTTTCAAATTGCTGGATAGACTTATTTTTGTTTGTGATATTGACACAGTCCTTCAAAAAAACTGCCTGCTGACCTTGTCCCCATAGTCATATCCCCTGTGATATTATCATTGGGGATTAAAAGTATTCTGTGCCTCTTTATGTTGCTATCTGAGTGACTCAGCTTGGATGCTTCCATTGTATAAATAAATAATTTGTTTCTAAGTGGTATATTTAGATTCTATTGATTTTTTTTTTTATTTTTTTTTTTTTTTTTATGCTAAGCATGAATCTTGATTCAGAAAAAGATAAACCTACTGCTGTGTTTTCTTTGCAACATTCAGGTTATCACAAGGTTTGGTCTATATAAAATCAGTCTAATTTTGTTTATAATTTTATGTAGTAACCAGTGCTTACCCATGAGTCGTTTTATGCAATGAGGTCCCCCTGGGTTCTCCCTGGGTTCTCTCTCTTCAGTAACTCTGGGATCTCTCCAGTTCTTTCTCAGGAGTCTCTCTCCCATACCCCTGAAGCTTTTCTGCCTGTTACTGTGGACACTGTCAGCTGCAGGATGGGTAGACATTATCCGATTCTCAATTGGCTTGTTCAGATACCCTCAGCACAAGGCTTTTGTCCTCTCTGGCACTCATAATCTGCTCATCTGGAAGGTTCTCCACAGTTTCCAACTTTGGCACTAATTGATAATTTCGTAGCTTTCACGACAACTGACAGGTTACTTTATTATAACTGAGTTACTCCCTTATCCTATAGGGTTCTTTGTAGTTAAAATGCTAATGCTCTTGTCAGCCAGGCCCAACCTATGCCAACTGCTGCAGTATATGTGAGGGAGATTTTTTGACCTCTCGTGTCTCAATAGGAAGAAAAAGCCAAATCTAAGTCGTGTTCGTTTAGTGATCCAGGTACTCCCTTCTGATTTATCTTTGGAGAAGTTTTTGCTTTTTTAGTTCAAAAATGAATGTTGTAATTTCAAGATATTTTTCTGTAGTTATCTAAATGTTTCCTGTGATCATATGAGGTGGTAATATGAAGGGGATTTTACTTATGCTAGGTCAGTTTGTTTTGAAAAGTAACTTCAGTAATTTTGACAGTTGAATCTTTGTGAGTCTTACATATATACAGTGACTTTGTTTCAAAATGGTGACTCTACACCAGACCTCTGGAGAACAGATCTGTAATTTGAACTTTCTCTTAACACCTAAAAAGGGGTAGTGAAGAAGTGATCCCCCCTCCCCGCCTCCCCCCCCAACAAAAAGCTAGAAATATTATATTATGTAGTAGAGGTTTTTTTAGACTATTTCCCAGTAAACTTTAGAAAGTTTACTGTTTCTACTGGAAAAATAATGACCTTACAGTTCACATATTCCCTGATGATGAGAATGTCAACTGTCCACTCAGTCCTGTCTGATTTATTTTACATCCCTACATGATTTTACTTGCATTATTGTTCTATTTTGGGCTATGCTTTGAGACATGATCCACATAAAATACGGAATTTAATTGGAAAACTTTCAATTGAATTATGACTTCTGTTTTCACATTGACATTTAGTGACTATCATCAGTGTCATCTCTCTTAGAAGGTATAACGCAAAGATCAACTTTAGTAGGTATGAAATGAAAATAGACAATTTTTTTCAAATATTGTGACATCTATTCCTTTTACAAACTGCTGATTTCTCTTAGCAGTCAACCATGTAATCAATTCAGTGAGTGCAATGTTTTCTCCAGAGGTCTAGAATTAACTGTTACTTTCTGGTGTGTTTTTTTTTGTGTTGCCCTTTGTTCATTTGGTTAGCCCACTTGTGTGGAAAAAGAAGAATAGTAACCAATTAATGCAGCAGTCCTCTTCATTAAGAAGATATTCCGTTGTGGATAATAAATGTTACACACTCATAGTCTTAGTCTGTCATAAATGAACTGAATTTATTTCCAGGAAGTGTCTTGGAGTTCCTAGGATAACAGAAATACAAAGCAATGTGGTATCAGAAAGACTTGGTTTTGTTGTTTTCCTTTCTTTTCCTGGGTCATTATGTATGACTTGGTTTCTGCAAAAATACCTTAGTCTTAATACTGTTTAAATTGCAGTTGGCTTCTGAGGTTTATGCCATTTCAACTGCATGAAATGCATGAAGTGCATATTGGGAGTATTTTCCATAATAGACTTCAATATTAATTAAGGCATTGTTATTTGTATTGCAGAGCTGCCTAAGTTCTGTTCTTAGTGATGTCTCTTCATTGTAGTAGACCTGTAAAAGCACAGAATAAAAAAGATGATCAATACTCCAAAGAGCCCCTGCTGCGAAGTGTTTTCAGTGCTATTTCTGTTAGCAGAAGCAATGGTCTGGAATTTTGAAATTACGTATCAGTAGTATCATGTGACCAACATAATTTAGGAATGCACAACAGTTAAGCTTTCAGATTATATGTTATAGAGATGGGAAAATAAAATGTGTTTAACTGGTTATACTATGACTTTTTTTTTCATCAAACTTTGCAATCAGAAAAGTCAAACTCCAGGTGGTGCTGTGCCTCTATTCATGTTTAAATAGTGTTGCATTTAGATAGTTGTGCCGTTATTTGTACATAGAGAAACAGCAATATATATTGAATATAAATTTACTACAGGTGTTATTGAGGCTCACTGTGTTAGAACAGTATTACACTAATTATAGCCGTTCTTTATCTTTTTATTGAATGTATGTGTCTGGTTCATGTTGAACTTAGGAAGTGTTTTTTGCAATTGTGAAGTAGTATTGTAATGTTTTTCATCTTCTAGATCCGTGGATTTTTATCAAGATTTGATAATGTTCTTCCAGTCAGCTTGGCATTTGATAAGTGCACAGCCTGTTCAACCAAAGTAAGTCTTGAGTTTGTCTGTACTTTATTTATATGTACAGAATGGTCTTGCTGTAGGTCGGTCTTGGGGTGCCAAGGACTGCTTTGTATTTCACATTCTCTCTTACTTCCTTAGGGCTTGGAATCTGTGTTCTTACTTCAGCTAAAGTGCTCTTGCCCTCATACCCTTCTTTTTTAGCTGTTTTCTAAATTTCTTTGGCATCACCTATTAGCATGCTATCTGCACACAAACGTTCTAGTCAGCTGAAGAAACCAAGCAGAGACTAGGGCTAACACATTTCGGAAAAGTTTGTCACGTAAATACTCTCAATATCTTTTAGCTTTGTAAGAAGGAATAAAATTGGTATTGTTTTAGTTGTTTAAGAAATTATTTCTGATGTCTGATGAATAAATACATATTTTTAGCTTTCTTTAACTTAGTATCATTACAAATATGAGAAGTTGTCTACATTTCCGGTTTATGATACAAAACAAACATATAAAGAACATGTAAGAAAAAAAAATTACTTCCATAACATTTATTTATTGAAAAGACTGTTTCATTTTGATGCTAGTGTTGACAGTCCTGAATCACCTAATGGATTTACAGCTGTTGCTTGGATCTGAGCTGTGTCTTGCCGGAACACTAGGGCACTAATGTGTCTGTGTGATGCCTCCTCTTCAGTCTCGGATTGTTTTCCTGTACTGTGGCCTTGAAGTTTTTTCTGGCAAGTTTTGTATGGCCGTGTAGTGCATGTACAAGAAGTTTTGACTGGGATATCTCGATATGAAGATTCAGAGGTTTTGACTTATGATTTGGACTGCTTGGGAGTGTCATTAATTTAGTTCACTTTTATGTACCTTGAGACTTACTGCAGGAAGTTCCTTCCGTTCTTTTCACTGCACTTGTCCTTCTTCTTTCAAACACTCTTGAGGCACTGTCATTTTTTTGAGGACTTGCACAATTTCTTCTTCTACAGTATTCCTTTTATTTCTCTAGGCTATCTGGGTACATTTGACAAATTTTGAAGGACCATTAACGTCCATTTTCTCCTTCAGAATTGAAACACTAAACATAAAACTGATGTTATTTTTAGAAACATATATCTACCCTCCTCAGTAGCTGAAAGCTCAGCAGTAGCTAAAACTTTATGATCATGGGGCCTGAGAAGTTAAGCTGTTAGAATAAGCTTTTTTCCCGTTTTTTTTTTTTCAATTTGTTTCTTTTTATCTCTGATCCAGGACATGTTGATACATAAAAACAATAAAAACATACATTGATGTAGATAAATTAAATGCAGGTATCAATTTTTTGTTAGCAAATCATTTCCTCTTGGAGGTCATTTTAAGAGAGTCCTGTTTTACATAAACAGACTTGATGATTTAATAAAAACTGACTTGGATTTTAGCAGCTGTGCTATTCCCAGAGAGATCACTTTTCATGTGGTTTTGCGTATTAAATTACTTCTGTGCTGAAAAGGTTGCCTCATTGGCGCACGTATTTCCTTACAGTAGAAACACAGCATTTGTTTACTTTGCTAACTTTCTATTTGTTAGCGTAAGAGTATGTCACCCTGCATTATCTGGAAATCTGATGCTAATAGTTTGAAATGACAAATCTAATTAAAGTTTAAGTGTAGTCTGTGTGGTGGTTTGTTT